ATCGAGAATTTTATTTCTTTTTCACTTTGATCTGGTGCTTTTTACTGGTAATAGATATATTGCACCTACATTTGTAAACAGCTCAATATTTGTTAGGTGATGGAGTAAATCAAGAAATAGATGTAGGTCATGGTTTGACTGATGATTATATTACATGCAGTTTGCGTCACTTTTTCATTTGAAGAGCAGAAAGTTGCTTGCATTTTAATCCATTTATCTTTCTGAATTCGGAAGTCATTTCTGCATTTTATCAGGATCTATCCGGTTCCATCACTAATCCAAATCTGATGGAACAAAGGACCTATGATCATGGATATCGGGAGGAAGGAGTTGATGCTGAACGAACTCTAAAGATGTTAGAAACAGGAGTAACTGGCAGCCAGACTGCTATGGCTAAAGTAAGTCTTGCTCTAAGTCTTACTCTGAGTTGCATGGTGTATTGCTAATATTCACTCAGTCGTTTGGTTCTGAATAAAACAAACTTAAATAAATGAATGAAAAGAAATTTTTTTTCCTTTGAGGTCTACCGAGGTTTATTTGCTTTTGATGCATCAAAATTTTGGTTTTTATTCAGGAAGCTGGCATCTGGTCTATACCCAACTATGAGATTACAGTCAATGCATTGACCTGCCAAGAAATCATAAAAGTATGAACGTTTCGTATAATGTATACTTCTTTTACCTACCTACACAGTGTATTTTGTTGTTATGTTTCGTTTTCTTCTCTCTGACTGGCTGCTTCTTCTTATAGAGCTAGATGCGAAGACAAATGGTTGCATTCTCATAAATGCTAATGGTGGCCTGAATCAGATGAGGTTTGGGGTATGGTTACCTTGGTTGCTTATGGTTTATCACAGAAAATTATCTAGCTGGCATAATTAATGCTTCAAAACTTCTGGAATGCAGATATGTGATATGGTGGCTGTTGCTAAGATTTTGAAGGCAACACTAGTCCTTCCTTCCCTTGATCATACTTCCTACTGGGCTGATGAGAGGTTGGTTTATTTGTTCCCACTGCTCATTAGAAATAAAGGCCAATTGCTTATGCATAATACCCTTGCTTCTTGCTTTCTTGCAAGCTACTGTATTCAGATTTAAATGGACTCTTACCACCTATCTTAGTTGATTGGAAATTACGAGTGTTAGACTACTTGTCCAAATCAAGATATTTCACAGAACTTTTCGATTGGTGCAAGAAACTTAGGGATAATAGCTTTGTCTCATGGCAGCTTATGCTGCCTTTTTTTAAGCATATCATCACTTGTAGTCCTATTATTGACATCTTCAATTAGACAACTTTCACTGCTTTTCTCCTAATGGAAAGATGGCATTTTTGTGAGAGATCTTCAATAATGCCGTTTTTCCAATCTCACTATCTACAACCTATTTCCAGATTGATAATCGTCTTGCAAAATGTCAGAGGTACTAATATGCTCAACATATATTTTAGTGGTTCCTAAGCTACTTTATTTCAATTTATTTGCAGTGGCTTCAAGGATTTGTTTGACTGGAGATATTTTATGAGATGCTGAAGGATGATATTCACATAGTTGAGACGTTACCAGCAGACTTTGCTGGAATTGAGCCTTTTGTAAAAACTCCAATATCTTGGTCTAAGGTCAAGATAATTATCCATCTCCATTTACTTTTTTTGAGTCTGGCAAGATATGTTTGATTACATTAATATATTATCTTAATGTTGAAGTCAGCCAAGAGTCTGGTCATTTATCCATTATAAGTTTGCAGTAAAAGAGATCACAATATGATAGAGTTATGTGTCTCACATACTCATATTTATTTTAATATAATCAATGTTATTAAAATTTGTTTTTATTGCTTCCCTTTCTATAATGTTAATACAGTCGATGAATTTGATTGCTCATCCACAGGTACCATATTACAGAAGTGAAGTTCTTCCCCTCCTGAAGCAGCACAAAGTGGTCTATTTTACTCATACTGATTCCAGGCTTGCTAACAATGGTATTTCAAAGTCCATACAAAATTGAGATGCCGAGCCAATTACAAAGCATTAAAATATTCAGCACCAATTGAAGAACATGGCAACAAGTTGGTATCTAGAATGCGACAGGAGGGAAATCATTATCTTGCACTTCATTTGAGGCAAGTAGGGAATCTAATACTCCCACAAATTACGCAATTTTACACATTGGATCTCTTTCTTTCTTCACTTACTCTTCTACCTACCCTTTTTTCTCCCTCAGCTTTCCTTCCCTGTCCTCTTGCAATTTCCATATATGTGGATGAGCCTGAGACTGAGTGCATCTATATTCTGGGAATTGCGTTTTACCATCAATTAATACAAAAATCTGAATGTTTTCGTTTCACGGATAGTGATATTTCCCTTGAATCTACGTGATTTACAATAAAATCAAAAGGCGTCATTGTCAAAAAGTGTTTCTCTCCTGTTCGTTTTCTTAAAATTTTTCATCCCGCCCACATTTTAAGGCTTCAACCTATTAGCATTATTATCCTGATAAAATATATATATATTGAGTAGAGATTATTTAATTCTTGGAAAAGCTAGATTTTGACTTCTGATCATATGGAGTGGCGATGGTCCGTGCTCATGGCTTGAATTGTTGGCCTACTTGAATAATAAATTACTTTTGACAAGGTAAAATGATGTTGAACTGCTCCCATAATCCTGCTTTTGGCCGGTCAATGAAGTCACCAATTCAAGTGCACGTAAAAGTCTCTATATTTCTGTACTTTTTGACTAAAAGCCCTATTGTGAGGGCCTGGCATGGTGTGGATGGAAGCGCTTGTGGTTTTGAATTTCTGTTTGAGATCAATGTGAGTTGCTAATACATAGGATCGTCTTTCTTTCTTTCTCCTCCCCCGGGGGGGGGGGTTTGGTGTTTGGAGGGGTTCCAGTGTTTTTCCGGAGTTTACCTAACTCCTTTCATGGTAGGATACTAGTTTCCTGCATTTTGCGTTCTGATTTTCTCATTACTGCATCCTGAGTTTGAATCTTTAAGAGCAAAAGGGTGTTCTCCAGTATTTTCTAGAATTCTGTTTTGAATTTTTAGAATAAAGTCCTAGACAGGTTGTATCTCAAGCGATGCAGTCTTTTCTCTCCTGTAAATATATGCAACAAGCTTAGTGCATTTAGTTTATAGGGGAACTAGAGGGGGTTCGGAATTTAGCATGAGTGTCTTTTTTTGTTTAGCTTGACTATACATGTTACACATTGATTGAATCTCAGGCCTCCCTTGATATCTTGGCTTCTCAAAGTATTCTCGCTTTTCATTGCATACACAGAACGATAGTTTGACAGATTAGATTTAAATCATGTTCCATTAAAATAATTCATTGACAGAATTAAGAGTGTCAATTGATACGTAGGTTTCATGAAACAATTATTTGTGTTCCTGCCAAGAATCTGAAGGATCACGTTACCCTTTTCCTGTTCTAGATATGAGAAGGATATGCTTGCATTTACGGGCTGCAGCCACAATTTGACTGCGGAAGAAGATGAAGAACTGAAACAGATGCGATATGAAGTCAGTCACTGGAAGGAGAAGGAGATTAATGGGACCGAGAGGCGAATTCTTGGAGGATGTCCATTAACACCAAGGGAAACTTCACTGTTGCTTAAAGCACTGGGTTTTCCATCCAGCACTAGGATTTATCTTGTGGCCGGTGAAGCATACGGAAGAGGAAGTATGAAATATCTTGAGGATGATTTCCCCAATATTTTCTCACATTCCTCTCTGTCTACTGAGCAAGAGTTGGAACCTTTCAAGAATCACCAAAACATGTTGGCTGGCATAGACTATGTTGTTGCCCTTCAGAGTGATGTGTTTCTCTATACTTACGATGGAAATATGGCGAAGGCGGTTCAAGGTCATAGGCGCTTTGAGAACTTCAAGAAGACCATCAATCCTGACAAGTAATAGATTGTGACTCCATTGCCTATTTAACTTTTAGCACAACTGACTGGCATTCTGTGGGAAATTGACACTATTATTGGCACTATAGCTGATATTTTATTGCCTATTGCAGGATGAATTTGGTTAAACTTGTTGATCAGCTTGATGAAGGGAAAATTTCTTGGAAGAAGTTCAGCTCTAAGGTGAAAAAGCTTCATGAAGACCGAACTGGGGCTCCATATCCTAGAGAGTCTGGAGAATTTCCAAAGTTGGAGGAAAGTTTTTATGCAAATCCTCAGCCAGATTGTATTTGTGAAACAAGATAGGTGTGGAAAGACTAGAACAGCGATCTTGGTTATTCGAAACGAACCAGACAAGACAATCGCGTTGATAACCTGATGGAACATGAATGTTCAAAAGCTGGGAGTTATCTGATAAGTTGCCATGGACCGTCCCATCTGTTGGAGATGAGATTAATACAAGGGACCAAGGGAGTTGATACTAGTGGTCTGGCTGGCCAAGTATACCACTGTTCTTAACACACCACACACACTGAATCAAACTTTTTTTTTTTTTTTTAACCCTAACCACGCTTGAATCGGGGCTTTATTTTTCCTTTTAGCTTATTTTTTCTGATTATAATTTAAATCATAGCAATTGATGTTAAGAGGCATATGTTATAGTATAAAATAAATAAGAAAATATTGTGATTTATTTAGCTTCTGAAGACAAGCTGGTTACCTTCTGATGCCTTATCCATTATTTAGCTTCATCTTGTGATGGCGTTGGGACTCTCTGGTAAAAAATTTAACACCCTTTGAGTAAGGTCTTGAATTTGAACTCTGAATTGGGGGGGGGGGGGGGAATCATATCAAGAGACTTTCTCTCAATTGAAAGTTGACCAAACTTGATTACGAATTAGTCAGCAATATTAAATAATTGATGTCACAAAAAGAAATTTCAACATTTCTGTTGTGACTACGAAATGAAGCTTGCAATTTAAGGATCTATCCGGAACTTCATCTCTCGAATAATGTCCTGCATCGTGGTTCGTGGGTGAGGAACAATTCTGAGCCAAGGTGATCTTTTCAAAATATAATATTGGTGGCAAAAGAAAGATTTCTAATATTTCAATGCATGGAATATTCTACACGTTTAAATTAGAAGCATTCTGCTTCTTCCACAACATGTTTTGCAAAAACATTGTAAAAAAACAAGAAAGAATGAAACAAAGCATATGATGCAAATGAGAGCTAACAAAAGTGAACGCTCATGTGAATTTGCTCAAACGATTGAGAAGTGAACTCTTGCCTCACTAATGAATTTGACTTCCTAGTTTCTATGAAGCCATCTGAGGACTAGCTTCCCCCCCCCCCCCCCCAAAGTATAACTTACAGTATCCTCAAGCTACTTTGGCTAGTTCTTCAAGCTTTACAAAAGACTAGCTGAGTAGCAATGACCGAGAGAAAATACTTGTTATTCACGCTTCTGCAATAATTTTCAGGGTTAGCCCTCATTGGCATTTCAAAGATGTCAATTTACTTGATAGGAATGAAGGCAAAAAAAAAAAAAAACTTTTCAAATATGTGATGTGGGTAACATTTGAACAATCACCACTGAACAAATAGAAACCTTTCATTGATCAAGTATTTTACATGGGCAAGATAAACGCAAAAAACAGATCTGCACCCAACATTTCGAAGTTTAACCTCCCTAAAATGGAGAAGGGATGCAAAAACAGCATTATAATTGTATAATAGATTCAACAAGGTCCTGGAGAGGGGCGAGCTCTGCTTTATCAATCAGACGGAATTCCTGCAGAGTCAGATTGACATGAGAACCAAAAGAGAAATAAACAGTGCATGTTTGAACATTATGGTCTTTCACTTACCCATGTAAACAAAACAAAATGCTTGAAGCATGTATTCAGATGAGCTTCTTCCTTCAAACTCACTATCTTTTGGAAATGTGAGTGATATATGTGAGCATATACACGGAACAATCTCTTAAAAATTGTCTTAACAACATCTCCAAAATTGCTCGGAAAGGGAGCCCCTGGACCAACGCAGCAGCGCAGGTGTCATTAATAATTATAATAACCGGCAAAAAAATCAGTCAAGTTGCTTCGGCTTCTTTGATGAAAACGTACCTAGTTTTTGAGGAAAAATTGTTTCATCATCTAGTTGAGATTCAATCCAATCCATCAGATACTCAACATACTTTGGAGCAGATACCTCTATAGGTTTCTTAATTGTGACGCCATCAGCCCATCTATACTCATATCTGTAGAATTTAACTGATATTAAGTACTTGCCCCCTGGATGATGTTAACGTTGATCATTATGAACTAATGATTCAACTTGTCCATTTAAGTCAAGAAAAGTCTAGAAGACAACCAAACAAAGGCTACAAAACAAAGAAAAAAATGATACAGGACAGGTGAAACAGGGCGGTCTAAACTAAAGGAGATTGGTTCTCCCATTCTTGCATTTGAAAGAGTTCTTCCTTTTGTCAAATCCCTACGCTTAGGTTAATTAGGAAAATCTCTGTTAACTTGTAATTCGGAGAGTACTATTTAATATTCACTACCAACAGTCTCCAACATAGCTCAGCACCCATCCTGCTTCATATTTGGAAGAATGAAATTTCTCACAGAACCCATTCCTCCATCACTCAGAAAAGGTAAAGGGTAGTTTTTAATTTATACGCATATCCAGCAAATATTTAGGTGCAGTATTTTAGACGCCATGTACTCTCAAGCACTATGAAATGATACTACTAATTGACAAAACAACCAGAACTTTAATATGGCAAGCTCTTTTTGATATGAGCCCTCGTCAAAATGGTTGAAGCCACTGGTTTAAAAAAAAAAAAAAAAACTAGTTTAGGCAGGTTTCATTGATTTTTGTGGTGCATGTACTAAAACCATGTATTAGTATTACCTATTATAAAAGGCTACATATACCTAGAGTAATTGTTGTTAATAGCTTGCCAACATGCCAAAAATAGTAGACAGAAGATAAGGAGATGCAAGTAGAATAGGCACTTAGTTGATGCAAGAAAAATAAGGAGAGTTTGGCTGACGGATCAAATACTTTGGTCCTGCAGTCATTGTTGGACAGTTGTTTGGTGTGCAGAATTCCGTAAGAGTGCCATAAAGGATATTCACTTGATTAAAGAAATCCACAGCTGCACAAAGAAGGGACACTAAAGTTAACATTTTACAAGCAATTTATGAATAATTTAAATTTTAAACCTTCCAGCGTGATTTGCCTGAAACTCAATGAACTAGAGGTTCTTACTGTTTACAGCTAACCACTCATTAATATCTTCACCAGGCGGCAGCTTTACAGCTTCTCTCAAGTTTCCACTACCCAATGTGGCATCAATATGCTTTTGTAGTTGAGCACCCTGCACTTTAAGAAATAAAATGCATGAGACAAAACGACAAACAAATTGAATATGCATAACCCCAAGACAGTAGCAGAAAAGAATCCAGCAACCATAGAAAAGAATGAAAATCAAGGAAAACTGACCTTGCTTCCAGATGGAGCACTCTTTTTCGGACGAAAAGTTTTTGAATTTCTGCAGAGATCAAAGCAGTAGTAGTCACTAACAGTGAAAACAAATATGTGGACCAAGATTGTGACATAAACCCGTAAGACAGACATTACTGATATGTTTTAAGCTAATTACAGTAAGACCCCTGCACGTCAATCATGTGTCACTCCCACATTCAGCACACATATGAAACGCCTGTTATGTTAGCATTCTATCGACGTGCATAGACAATAGCCAAACATTGGCGTCTTTTACCTGCTGTAAACTTCAGGTGGTTTGACAGAATCCTCCTTGTACTTATCATGTTGACAACTTAACATGGACAAACAATGAAAAAAGAAGTACTTGCAGAAGCAGAAAAAAATTATCAAAAATAGCATACACAGAATGATCAGCAATGAAAAACTTGCAGAATTTTTGTCATCACAGCACTTCCCACCAACAGTTATATGTAACAAAAAGGTAAAACTAAAATCATGTTTAAAAGATAGGAGAGAGAATTGGCTTATTCGACGCCAATCAGCTTGGAACAAGTTAGATCAAAATACCCAAATACGATAACAATATTATAAGCACTTTTTAAAGTATATTCTGATTTTATTTTTTTTAACTTCGGCATGATTTAAGTGATAAATCATTTTAACATGTTAAAATAAAGACAATAAGCATGATGTCCAGAAATCATTACATCGTTTTGTAGTTGAATCAATACAACAGTAATGCGTTCAATATACAATTAACACAATTGAAGGGCAAGGTACATCACAATTTCATAGAATATAAAAATTAAACAAAAAATACTTTACATTCCATTTATCCAAAGAAAAGTTACATGACAAATTAATGATGCTTCTGTTGTAAGCTCTTCATAGTGGAACTTTTTTTAAACTCGGCTTTTGGACAAATAGGTGGAAGTCATAATTTCATGGGTTGGGCTTGAACGGATTGATGGGCCTTGCACGCCCCTTCTAAAACTAACCTCAAAAAAGAATCATCTGAAAGAAAGCGAAAAATATCGTCTCTCAATATCAGTAAACATCCCATTAGAAATCGAATTGTCAAATTTCAAAATTGGTTTTCTGCTCCAATGAATTTCGAATAGCCGGCTCTCAGGGAGACAGATTCACATTGCTCTTTCACAAAAAGAATCATCAAACTGAAGCGATAAATTTGACAGCCAAATATCAAACCATTCTATTTGAGAGAATGGAAAATAATTGAATGCAGCGGAACAAAAAGAGAACACAACGTGAAACAAAACGATTATGAATGCAAAAGGATCGACAACAGTTACGCAATCAGAATGCAGATAATCTTCGAGAAAATTGACTGTTATAATTGAAGGCTGACCTGCTTCCAAGACCGAAGAGACTCATGGCGCCCAAATCCTAAGCCTCTGTCTCTCTGGAAGACGGAAAGGCTCAAAACAAAAGCCAAAATTCGGAGGAAAGAAATGAGTGCTCTATATATATATATATATATATATAGAGAGAGAGAGAGAGAGAGACGTAAGACAGAGACATAGAACAGAAGGGCATCTTTGCTTGACCTCCCAATATTGCCAGACTGTCATCTCCCTCCGTCACTCTCTCTCTTCTCTTCTCCCTCTGCCCTGTGAGGGAGAGCTGGAGAGAAAAAGGCAAGGCCTTCGTCATTTGCCAACCTGCATGGTGCTTACCTGGATGATTCTCCGTATTTGCACCGTTCTGTTTCTGCTTCCTCTTTATTTATTCCCTTTCTTTTTTTTTTAATTTTCAAATCATAATCGAACTCTTTGACCAAAGTAAAATAAAACTAAATTTAGTATTAATAGTAATAAGTTCATACAAATATAATTTCTCAAAAAAATTTAAAAAATAAATTTTTTTAATAATATATCAGACCATAGATATTATGTAAATCCAAAATCATCGATAACTAGCTACTCTCCTCCGATACTTAATATAAGACCCAATTGTTGAGTTGGTTTTGGTCCTAAATATAAGACCCATTTCTTATATTTATCAATGTTCTCTAAATTACCCTTATGGATATTCCCTCAACCATAATCAAATAGAAGAAGGAGATGGGGTATTAAGAAAGATGATTGTGGTGTTTTAGGAAAAATGTGTCACTTTTCTTAT